TTCACATTGGAAAATGATTCATAAAGAAAGGGATGAGAGAGGGAAGGGAGGAAATAAACCCAACCTAACCCAACCCCCAGACTTCTTACCATGTATGTATTAATGTCATCCTAAGCTAATAGGGTAAGAGCCTGAGGCCTCGGCCTAGCATAGAACAAGCCATCTATTCTACTACTAACTTAGTATTTCTCTACCCACCATACACAAACAAACACACCCTACCTACTTATGTAGTTATAGTCAGTCATGATTCAACACAAAACTCTACTTCGAAGTATGTACGATGTACTGTGTAATAACATCAACCTCCCCACTAAGTTAGCCAACTCTAACTACTAGCTGAGGTCAAGTCAAATGAGTTGAACTGTTGAACAAGATCAAAGGAACAGCACGAGCACTTTACCTAACTGTTAAACCCCCGCTCAACCTAAAAGGCTAAAATTAAATCCCGAACACTCCCCCTCCCCCCACCATGAATGGAAATAGAGTATTAATTTATCCCCGCGGCTACCGCTGGAGGAGAATGTCCGTGTTGTTTCGCTGTTTCTCTCACGTGTGTGTCATTTATGTGGGGATTATGTAAATATCTTGGCTTCATTTGGTGGAGAGGAGAGTATACTATTTTTTGGGTTTTGGTGGTGATTGGAAGGAAATCTTACCAATTTCATTGGTGGATATATAAATATATGTATATATAAATATCCGGGGAGAGGAGAGAGTATTGGATCTGGTGTCTATTGACCTTTTGGTTGAGAAAATATAATTTAACGGAAAGAACTTGAAGTATATAATTTTATTATGAATTCCTTTTCTGTAATTCTTTACTTAGTATCTTAACTAACTAGTTTGTAAGGTAAAGGAGAAAAAAAATGTGGAGTATGTTATAGATGTTTATTTAAGCGGGGTGTATCCATAGCCCCGTAGACATCGACAAGGCCTCGGAGTACATACATAGGAGTATTTTAACGGAGCTGTTGTTATACATCTTGATCGAGAACCTTTGTTTTTCTTAACAATGTTACTAGAGCACTTGCCTCGGTCGGGTGGCATCTTTCAGTAGGTCAGAAACTCGGTTTACGTAGATTTATGTTGGTGGTACATGTATACATGTATATGTACCCTGCTGGAAACTAGGGATACGCATGGCATTGAGTCATGTCACATCATTCCAACGAAAGTTCCTGTTGATGCTTTCTCGCTTCAGTCATTCCTCTCGGTTAGCGGTCGGTTCCCTGCATAACCGTATCCACCGTTTCTTGAAGCAAACCAGCCGTAGCAAGGTCCTTGTCCACCGCTGGTGCCCACCCGTGATGCCCCTGCTGCTACGGCACGTTGTGGGTGGAACACAGACGATAGTGTGGGTCGATCAGGTACATCTTGACTAAACGATAACCGGGGATCCTCGCATCGGCCAGCTCGAAGGGGTCGGTCCGGTGCTCCACAACATTGGGAAAGGTGATAAATAGCCCTGCAGTTGTGATGGAGTCTTCGTTCTATGATCTTCTAATCATGTGATGACCAAGGCACGGATTCAGGAGTGATATCCCAGGATTTCCTCCAGTATGTCCAATTTCTGCCTCAAAAGGTTTCCCATATCAGTGAGCCGGCTGATTCCACTGATTAGTCCACTTCCCTGCAGCTCGGTCGTAGTCAGATCGATAGAGGTGATTGTGGAGGCTGCCGAGTCCGACTTGTGCACACTGGACTCCGTGTGGATTACCCATGTGTGGGAGTTCTCCCGGAACTAAACCCTCCAGCTCCACGCCTTCTCACCTACCAAGGGGGGGGGGGGGGCAATAAGAAAGTTTCTTTCCCCCCCCGGGGGGAAATTGCTTTATTGGTTAATTTTCCCCCCCCCGGGGGGGGGGGGGGGGTCATGACGAAGGTCTCTTCCCGCCACTGGATGAACTTGTCTTTATCGATATATTGTCCCGTCTCGCGGTGAGCCGATAATCGAAGCAGAGAACGTGTAATGCCCGACTCTTCCATCCTGGTTAGGGTCGACTCCCATTTTAGGGGTTGATACTCAAAGGTGGATACTCGTCGTACTCAGAAATACACTTCAGATAATTGCATGAAGATAAAGCGGATCAGATCGAATAGTGAGGGTATGAAAACCTTGCCTGGAATGCACTTTTGTCGCCATTTTATTGGCTTTTAGACCCTGTGCCCCTTTCATGTTAAAATAGCATATATATATATTTATGGCAATGGTTCCTGCTATACAACCATAACACAAATAAGGATATCTTTATGGATGTCGACTTGAACACAAAAGTTGTTGTGGACACAGTTGAACAAGCATTTCCATGTGGGGAAAAAAAAAAAAAAAAGACAGTGAAAATCAATTGTGGTCGTAAGATGAGTGAAAAACTTACATTTATTTTTCTTAACACTCAAAAAAAGGTTTATTACATTATTCATTAATTCCAAAATCCCAATAGAAACAGCATCAACTGTAAGTTGACGACTATATGGCATTGGTGGCATAATTCGATATCACTTCTGAAAAGGTCGGGTCTAAGAGAACCAGTACGAGTAATGAATGATTGGAGCACGAGAATCTAGACAGTCTGATGATGATTATGTGACATTAGGTAAAGGGCTAGCGGCATCTGCCAAGAACTAATCTGGAATGGGGAACAAGAAACTTTTTATACCAGCTCAGGACTAGAGGAGGCTAAAGGCCACTAGGGCAATAAGCGAAGCTCTTTTAGGAAATTGGTATAGACTCTGCAGAAACGGACAATCCTCAGTGCCCCCGCATCGCAGTCAAATTCTGGTCCTGCAAGAACTGAGCCCTTCAAGGTAGTTCAATCGACCTCGGTCGAGGCCTTGTCTATAGTCCCAGTGAAGTTATATCCAGAGAGCTAACTCCGGCGGGACCGGATCTCAGCTTGTGCAGCCTTCTAATTGGAAGGTATTCCAGTATAAATCATGAAGTAAGCCCCCGGTGTATATTAGCCAATGCTGACAGATATCACCCACCCCGCTGTAGTCTCCGCTATGGTGGTTGCGGCTAGAATAGATCTATATGAAGAAGATAGTATAAAAGAAAGACATGTGCTGCTACTTCCCAGGGACAGCTTACGATCTGGCAGAGCAACAACCTCGAGAGCTCACCTCGTAACCTCTCCACGAAACATACCTCCCATCATGAAGTTAACAAGATACCTTTCTCTCCTCACTCTCGTGCTAACGGCAAATGCCGCGGACTGCACAGCGCCAAACCAGCAATGGTTTAGTGATGCCGCAGTGCAAATGATGTGGTCAATTCGGGCCTGGCTCTGTCCCAATGCGTGGTCGCAATCTATCACCGCCGGACCCGATGGCGGTTGGTGTGATGCGGGTGGCGGCGTCATCAGTGCCTATTGGGGATCCTGGACGATCTCTGGGATGCAATCTGAGCAACAATGTTGGGTATGTGACTCTACTCTCGATCGTGGATAATGATAACGCTGGATGTGGGCTTACAATTAAGGACATAGGATATTACTGAGCAAATCATCAACCAGTGCATGTGGTATGATTTTGCATCTACGAGCTATAACGGCGGAAGTTGGACCTATGGCAATATCTATGCTGGTGGTTGGTTCTGGGCTGATACAAGCAAAAGTTGCTCGCATGCGGTGAAAAGGGATCTGATGACCGAGAATGAGGGACATGTCAATTTCACTCTTGCAGATGGGAGCACCCAGACGGTAGACAGGCAGGTCTGGCTGGATTTTACTGCGGAAGGAACGACAATAGTGAGGGAGGAGACTTATGCTTGACTTTGATGGCTGGTAGCACAGCTGTGGACTAGGTGCAAAGGAGCGGGCACGATAGTAGAGTATTCAGTATGGAATCAGTATGCTGTTAATCTTATTGCTCGGATCTGTCTTTCTTGAATCATGCACGGCTTCAATATACAGTACATGCTACTAGTGTTCCGAAAACCAGCACTCTCGAAGTTGTGTATGTGATGATACAAAATAGTTTCGGTCATTTGGTTTAGTGCTTACCCTTTGGTTCTCTCATCGTCATAGCACCTATGGTAATAGTTCCTCTAACATCATATGGACTACGGACTACGTTAGCTATGTAGGAGCAACAACCTTGCAAGGTATCACTCATACCTACACTGCAGTAATTCCTGGATACAATCATTCTTTCAATCGATATTGTTTAATTTCCTCTTCTTGGATAAGAGATGTGTCGTCTATCAGAAGGAACAGGTCATAAGGCCGTGTATGCGAGCTAGGGAAATATATTAGAGAGTCCAGTCGTTGACGAATCGGCGCAGAAAGCAGTGACTCCCTTGATGTATTAGGAATGGTGTATATCATACCTAATGATGACCAAAGATTCATAATGATTTCCACAGGCTTGGATAAGGGCTAGATGACTTGGCATTGATTTCCTGTCCAACCAATCGATTACACTAGAGCTCTTTCAGTATAGTCTGCCACTCCTCCCAATATCTCATTGGTTATTACCCCTTTGTTAGAGTGAACAACAACTGCATCTCTTCCTTGAACTTGTCAGACGAATTTCCCTGCTTGGTACTAGGCGGCTTGGGTTAATCTATAAATTGTGAGAAGTCGGTAATTAAGATGCCCTGGTGTTCTTGGTTCTCATTCAGGCTTTCCTCGTATATATATTTAACCAGAACGCCCAATTCAGTCAGTACTCACACCAATCTTTCCAAGGATCGGGTTCACTCACCCACAAGTTTAGCCCTAATCCATCTCCGCTGCCTTCAAAAGATCTGTAACAACATCCTAGTAAGTTCTCAAACCCATACCGATAATGAATCCATGGGAACTACTAAATCAAAAATCCAAACAGATACGGCATCCAACATGAAGCTACCATCTCTCCTCAAGCTTGCAACGCTTGCAGGCCTCGCTTGCAGCTCCCTCCCCGTGAGCGCACTGACCATCGGAGAAGCGGTGGTGTTTCCGGGGTACCAGTGTGACTCCAATGGCCAAGTGCTCCAGTTTGATCTGAGTGCCAATCGACACGTATTCACCATCTCTGGATCGGGCGGGGCCGTCTTGAACTGGCTGAATCCTGGCTGTAACGTGTTTTTGTGCTTTGCCGGTTATGGGTGCGGGGATGGTCAATCGGGCATGCAGCAATTGAAGCCCAATACGTGCTTATTGTCGAAGGCAGGGGATGAGTGGAGAGTGTGGGATAAGATGCTTTTTGTTTGCGATTAGGATGGGGGAGTACTGGGCAGTGATGCATATGGGACATTAATGACGACGAAACATGGTATATAACACTTCTCAGTAGACATAGCCGGCCCTGTAATGTAGGTCAATGTGGTGGTCTGGATATTACAAAAGGTAAACAAGATCTTATGGATCTTTTCCATGCGATGTCACATATGGCGTAGGCCTACGACAGTAACACCCCTTGAAGAGCTTGGACACTTCTCTCACTCGACAAAAGATTGGGTTAGCAGTTGGGCTAACCTTGCACTTGAATATGATCAAGGAAATATTTATAGATCAGTCTATATCATTCAGTTATGCAGGATGTGAGTAACCTATAGAGGACCGTTCGGTAGTATGGAACCCACCTCTTTACCAAGGGTCATACGCTTCACCTACAAGGGCTCTGTGTGGATGAAATCGTAACGTTTCACACATCGGAATACAAGCTTAACGATTGTATCATCGCACCTATCGTATAATCCACATGCTCTTGAATATGAATACTACTGCTTATACAAAGTAATGGCAGAGTCATTGAATGTATTATTCAATCAGCGAACCCCTTGGAATAGTGAAAACACAGGCTGTTCGTTTGCACTGATTGTAATAAGTGTCCTCATACCGTACACGCCGAACCCATTAATCTAATCCGAGATATCCACAGAAATCCACATCTAACCCAAATGAACAATGCACAAGCACACCTCATAACTCGTGATCAGTATTACTCCGTCTTAAATGCTTATAATCATCTCCGCTTGCTATTAGGATCCGGGAGCATAATGTCATCAACCGCACAGTTGGGATGCAGAACGTAAACCGTGCGGTGGGAGACCTCTTGGTCACCATCGGCTGCATCAACCAGGCCTTCTCCTCGGATGGGCATGAGGATGTTGTCCTAAGATAAACCGTTAGTCATGCAAATCAACCAGGAAGGACTGCTGTATAGAGGCACAAACCTTAACCATCCTCTTCAAAACCTTGACTGCCAAACTGCGCTCTCGTTGCAGATCTTCCTCGTTCTCCAGCTCCGATTCAATCTGTTCCAAGTACCAGACAATGAGATCCTCCTCTTCTACCCCCTCGCCAGATGTAGACTCGTCCTCATTGACTCGGCGCACAACGAGGTTCAAAATCTTCATGTACTTATCGAATGTGATCTTAGTCCTTGTGCGCGATGGTGCTGGCTGTTCTTCCATGTCATCACGCATAGGGCTGTCGCCCTCTCGGTCACGTTCGCCGTCGCCCATTTCGTGATCCTCATCACGTCCTGCGGCGTTAACAGGTTCATCATCATCGACTTCGACATCATCCTTTTCAACCGTGACAATGCTCTGCCGGAGAAGATCATACGCTTCTTGCACGAATCTCGGTACGATCTCCTCCACGCAGTTAGCCTTGGCAACGGCTTCGGAAAGACGAACCAAAGACTCCAGCTGTCGCACAGTGATGCGGTATGAAGACCTGCCATTGCCGCCTTGGGAGTCATTAGAGCGGAGCTCCTTGTATTTCTCAACTAACAGGGCCTTGGCCTCATCAGTGAAGACCGGCCTGAATGTCCGGGCGAATCGAATGTAGCGCTGTAACTGCTCGGTACTCAGCTCTGGCTGAACGGCTTCGTCGCGGTTCATGTGTACATTGACGATATGGTCAGCCAAGTTGCGATCGACGGCTTCATTGGGTTCATCCCGAATCACGAAGAACAAATCGAATCTGCTCATGATGGGAGCACTGAAGTTGAGATTGGCTCGCAGAGTGGCCTTGGGGTTGTATCGTCCACCAATAGGATTAGCTGCAGCGAGGATAGATGCACGTGCGTTGAGAGTCGTATGAATTCCTGCCTTAGCAATCGAAATCGTCTGTTGTTCCATAGCTTCGTGGATAGCAACTTGGTCGCTGACGTCCATTTTGTCGAATTCGTCAATAGCACAAATGCCACCGCCGTTCTATATACCAAGGAGTCGTCAGCCGTGTTAGAGAAAGAGAAGGAGAGAAGGAAATGCCTACCGCGAGCATCAGAGCACCGGCTTCAATAGTGAATTCACCAGTCTCAGCATCCTTCACAACCGAAGCAGTCAAACCAGCAGCTGACGAGGCCTTTCCACTTGTGTAGACCGCGCGAGGGTGTAAAGAACAAATGTATCTAGATACACAGTGAGTTCCCCGTCCATGAAAAATAAGACCCTGAACACCTACTTTAAGAATTGACTTTTGCTTGTCGAGGGATCACCAACAATGCATACGTTGATATCACCACGGAGCTGCATGTTCTCCTGCGCTGTATATTTGCTGACTCCGCCAATTAGTTGTAGAAGCAATCCTTTTTTGATCTGACGGTGGCCATAAATCATAGGAGCGATGGAGTCCACAAGCCGAGAATAGATATAATCCGAGTGGACGAGTCCCTTTAGATCCTCAACTTCGTAAGGTGTTAAGGTGTGAAGAAACGCTTCCTGGGCCTTGTCTTCATTATCTTCAGGCTCTGTGAGTTGGTTGAGGGAAGCAAGAATATTATGAGACTGCCCATTCAATTGCTGATTGGTTTGCTGACCGGGTGTAGTCGTGTCTGGGGTGACCATACAGGCGAGGAAGGCAAGACGGTAGGTCAAATCCCTCGCACCAAGAGCCTTCAGACCAGTGAGCCCTCCGCCACCAACATCTCCGCTGCGGAATGCAGAGTCATCACGGACGGCCTCAGGTCGCACACCAGGCAGTCCAAGTTGACTGACGTCGGGGACAACGATCAAAGTGCCGGTGAAGATACACCGTTCGCCAGCCTTGGCACGATCGACCATCTCACCGCGAAGTATGACATCCATAGTACGGGGCATACTGCCAGTAGGGATCTCATGTGATGATTCCTGTAGTTTCACTTTTTGCCAATCAACAAAAGTGCTCTTGCCAATGTCTAGACGCCAACCAGAGCGGTTTCCGCAAGACTGGTTCGGGCATTCCGAAGGCTCCGTATACTTGAATGTTTGTTCAACATCGGGGCACACCGTCTTGCAGTTCTCACAAATAAAAGTACCCAGGGACAACTCCGGACGAATCTCAGACGTCCGTGTGACAGTGCCAGAGATGGAGAGCAATTTTCCGATCTGTGAGGTTCGGAGTTGGCGCAAACGGGAGACAAGGGGCAAATTATAAAAAGCGAGAGAGAACAATTTATCTGTCTGCTGGTGACGTGTCCGCTCTTGGACGTACTCTCCCATCTCATGTTTGTCGGATATACTAACACTTGAGTTGCCCCCCATCATCGACGTGCCAGCATCTGAGTTCACTTTATCAACTTTGCGATGGTGGGTATAGAAGTCGGGCTCATATTTCGCAATAAGATTGTGCAGCGCTTTGGTGAGGAATGGATGGAATCGATAGAATTGGTTGACAATGGCGTCCGCTAGAATCGGGTTGTCAAGTGATGTTAGGTGGGTGAAATCCACATAGAGTGTGGACAGTGAATGCTTGTTCATGCCATGGATTTGAGCAATGTAGTATTTGTCGCTGAGAATTTCCGAAGAAGGCGGCGGCGCAGACCAGGTAGGCTCCTCCCTATAAGTCTCAAGCAATTCCTCGAAAGCCTGCTGTACTTTCTCGCCCGCCACGTCGACCAAGGGAGGAGGAGCTTTCACATATGGATTTCGGCGGCGGGTCACGGTCGAATTCGATTCAACGACTTGATCGTCAGGGAATGCGTGCATATCGCTCATAGGGCCATTGCTCTCCGAGGGGGGATGTGGCCGAGAGCTGGGAAGTTGATCTGAGTGCAGACGATGGTCGCGAGAGCCGGCGTTCGAGTCTAGCTCGGATTGAAGGACGGCGTCAAAAAGGGACGACATGGTTGAGGGCAGCCAGATCAAGGCCGCTATACAGTCGGGTGGAGAGAGCTAATTAGATGTACCCCTTCTTGCGTGACAGGACGATAGTTCGTTGATCAATTGTGTAATTATGGGTGTGGGTGATAGGATTTTGGGGGGGGGGGGTATATTCAAGTTGCCCTGGCAGTGTGTGTGGATCGAAGAAGCAATAATAACTTTCTTTTTGAAGAAACGCGTAGGGAACGCGAACGCGTCGGATAATACTTATTGCATTCCGACGTGTAAAGTGGTTTTCCAGAGTGCTTATCTCATCCATTTCCCATTTTGGACAGTCCATGAGTCAGTATCCTCAGACTAGCCGATTCAGGAGAAAGGTCTTCATGCCGGTTGGCCAAGGAGGAAACGGATCCTTGCCAAGCCAGTGGCCGACAGCGGCTAGGTCCAGGACTCTCTGAAGTATTTTCTTTCCCCTACCAATGAGAAACTGCCAGGGTGCTTATATAGGAGGGTCCAAGCTTCTCATGGCCAATGGAAAATGGTTCTAGATATCTAACTTTCGGGGCTGCACCAACGAGACTTTGTGCTCATTACCGACCCCACTGACTTCTCATCCCTAATAAGAACCGTAATGGGATGCCGGGGTCATCCTACGCCGCACGTTGATAAGCATGACTATGACTGATTTCTTCGGCGCATCTCGATCGTCAATCATCCTTCTCTTCCCCGACCGCACCTTTGCAATGAACTCCTCCGACAAATTGGGTCATTCTATGGGGGTATTCTGGTAAAGCTCTTGTCCGGTATGCACCTCTAAGGAGGTTTTAGCTTTTGTCCCGTCAGTCAGATTGCCAGAGTCCACTGCCACTAGGGCGGCTCGCAATGTCTGTGGGCACTCCCCCTTTGGTTAATTTGGCACATTCCGATCCAAACTCAGCGCCGCAAGACATCTCTCCCGGTACAGAACAACAAGGTTGGCGCTTTGATCCGAGTTCCTATTTCCTTTCCTTCGCTCACGAGGCTGATCAAGGTTTCGCAACAGCGACTCCACAAAATGCCAGTCCACATCCAGTGAGGGTCAAAAGGCGGAGGCACCAGCCCGCGTCGGAAGACCCATCCAAGAACCAAGTTTTCTATTTTGTCGATTCAAACTCTTCTTCCCGAGAAAAGCGAGCTCATGTTATGCGCCATCATGTTCAGGAGAAACGGAAACAACTAAAACACACGCATCCTCGAAGCGACTCTGACAAGAGAGTTCATCGCCCTCTCCGCTACCTATCTTGGCAGCAAAAGAAGTTGTTACTAAATGGCGATGACAACGAAGTCATTGAATATAAGCGATCGGAGGATGAGATTACCCCTAAAGACTTCTCCACAGTAGGTCATTGGAGGTTCAACTCAACCGATGCTTTACTGACACCCAGGGCCGCTTCAGATGCCCGTCGGACCCCAAATACCTGCACCTGCTTCCTACTCAGTTTCGCCCGTCACCCTACTCGACGCCTCCGGAAAAGATCCTTTCGATAGCTTGCCGGTAACATGCACGAGAGAGGATTTCATATTGATGGACTGTTGGACAAACAGATTGACATACTGGTCAGGCGAGCCTAGACTCATCAAAGACCAAGTCTTCCGGGCGGTCCTGAATCATCCCCTGCCGTTTCAGTCGGTTGTCCTTGCATATTGCGCTCGTTGGAGGGCACAGGCATACGGTTTCAAGTGGAGCCCTGAAGTAGAACAGCACTTAGGGAGAGCAACAAACGGCATTGAACAGGTGATGAAGGGCGGCATGGAGATCGACACTGACAGCCTAGCGATGGCCTTGACGGGGATGGCAATACAAGAAGAAAGATTTGGCAGCAAGCAGCATGCCAGAGGATACGTAGACCAGGCTGTCCAGATCCTTCGTTCCAGGTCGGGATCTAATCGTGTTGCCGAAGCATTCTTGCATTATGTGCAATTTATGTTGATGCCACTTCATCCAGCAGTTCCCGAAGACGGCCAGAAATGGCTGGTCACATTCCTTCGAGGAGCAGAAGAATTAATGCTAGAACACAGTACCGATGCGTATTTGTCATCTGTTCCCCAGCGTCGCTCTGCGTTTCAAATGGACAGTCCTTTGTTCCCATTGCTATCCAGCGGACCTCGTCCTTCCCAAGTTCCGCATCAGTCACGCATATACATTATAACGAAGACTGCGCCGACCCAGGAGCTCACCCGTACTGCGGCCCTCATATACATTACAGCCGCCCTCTGGGATTTCCAGGGTTCTCCCAGCAAGACCGGCCGGTTTCTCGACCATATAAGTGCGACTGTGAAAGATCGTGAACTCGACAGGTTTCCCGCATGTGAGTCCTTCGTGTGGCTCCTCCTACTCGAAGGATATGAGGCCGACCTACAGGAACCCGAGAGAAGCTGGTCCACGAACGAGCTGTTGAAATTGTATAAACAGCTTCGGCCAGAACTCCAGTTCCTTTTCAGTGAGATCCTCCTCAGTCTCCTGATGCTTACTCCACCGATCCGGGGGATCGATGTATTTGAAAGAGAATTGTACAGCTCTATGCCAGAGGTCCAGGAAGAACCCTGAGCTACGCCCAAACCGGGTCACTGTTTTCTTCATGTACATGTACTCTTTTGACCACCTCTCAGGACGCGACAACACTTCGACGGTTTGCAGGCAGCCGTGCGCCCATCTCATCTAAGCCTTTGATTCTTGGATTAAACTTCTTGTATATACTACAACTGATACAGGGACAGGTGCCCAGCCAACACTTTCCCTCGGTACGGCTTCCCAATCCCGTGTACCTAATAACTATGGGACGTGTATCACCTCACGCACACCGACCAGAGACAGTACGAACTAGACTTCGTCTCGCAAGAGATAGGAAACAGCGGAGGGGTGTTTTTTTTTTTTTTTTTTTTATGTATATTATGCTTACTCTCGTTAAAGGCTATACCATGCTTTCTGGAAAGAAGCTTCCTGGGTTCGGGTACGAAGGGCCGAGGCAGTAACTGCAGAGACATCTATTGTGACCAGCCCGTCCTCTTAGTATGGAGAGACCAAATGCCATCATACTACTCAAGATACTCGTAGATGTTTAAGAGGTACATTAGAGAAGCTCTGGCCCCCCGATAGTAATAAATGTACAGGCCCCATCTCTGGGAGCATTTGCTACCCTAATGGCCTAAATTCGAAGAGGAAATATATTTATATAGATATATATATATATATCTTCAGCCAATCGGAATACAGTTATCCCATTCATCTCATTGCAAATCTCAGCAGACATCATTGACATGATACTAGTATCCATCCCACCTTTCCTCCGTGTGCAGCAGTTTCTCGCCTTCCCCTACAACTCGACTCCATAGGCCAGGTCACCTTTTTGCGTATTTCATGAGCCTTACTCTGTACTGAGCCCAGTAACTAGGCAATGAAAGAGAGCCACTAACTCTAACCAATTTACTACCTGACTCTCTTACCTTCTATAGAAGGCAACGACTGATGTCCAACAAATCAAAGTAGTATACCAACTCCTCTTCAAACCCTAGGAACCGTCTATACCCCTGCAATCACAACCAAAACTACTTCCAAGATCTCCAATCCAAGATGATATCACGATGATCGACCTACAACGAAACCATACGGAAACCGGTGTGGCTGGGGCAGATGACGTTTCAAACGCAACCCTCAGAAGCATACCTGGCTGGATGTGTGGCTTGACCGATTGGTACCGCATCAAGCGAGCCAAGATCGGTCTATCCGAGAAACAATGCCAGATAAGGCAGTGGAGCCACGATAGGTCACACGGCAAGGCCATGAGCGTGAAGGCATCAGCGGTAGCATGGGCCGCGGTGTGGACCTGTTCATTGTCGTTACTGGGTAGCGAGCAAAATTGTACCCATAAGGCATTCGTGGTTCGCGCTAGGGATGGCTTAGATGAACAAATTTTTAGGGGTGATGATGCCGTGATAGGGCTGCAAGGTTCGTGAGACTCTGGGCTCAATTGTTTCTCTGGATGTCACATCTTGAAGACTGGTTGATCGTTCTGATTAAGCTATTGGTACTTCGTATTGATGGTCGTATTCCTAAGGACGGAGATACTCGGTCGGGAAGGATGACTTCATGTTGGGTTGATAGGGTTTGATTGTGTGGCTGGTGTAGAGAGGACACGGGAAGGTGCCGATCAGCACAGGTTTGATTGGATCTGCGCAGCTTAGACCAGTGGCAAAAGTTTGACAGACGCAAACAGGCAGCAGCACTAGCCACACCATCATAGATTTTTCGAGTTATATTACACAAGATTACACCAGTGTTCTGAGTCCATACAGCATAGCTTGAGGAAGCGGTTCAGGAAAAAGAATCCCCAAGAGATTATAGGGTAAGGCGTTGGCAGGATTGAAGCGATACGAGATTCACCTGATGGGTGTGTTTCAAAATGTTTTCACGGTAGTACTGGATAATTTACAGTAACATACCATGGGACAAGGGCCTCCTTAAGGTGGTGCTGAGAGGCAGCGGTACCAGTACGGTAAGGTACAGGAACAGGTTGCCGTTCCTAGGTACCGGGTACATGGCTACGTAAGGTCGGCCCTCCTGTAGTTGAGGTACCCATGGATGTACTTTGGGGTAATGAACTGTACCTGGGATCCTGAGTCAGGAGGGGTTGCCACAATATTATAGCTTGAAGAGACTGAGAAACGGTAAACATTCCGGGAAAGCAAGAATAATTACAGAGAGTTTTGCTTTGACGCTAAAAAAGGATCTATTGAGCCAACTCATCCACTTCATAACCCAAAAAACGTTAGTCTAGCTGTTCTTATCTGGTGTTGGAAATTTCAATGGTTCCAATTCTGGTCAAATTTCATCTTCTGCATCGTTTGATTGCTGCTATGTATAACCTGTCTATTATACATTGACGTTATTCTTCCCCACCACAGATCAAATGGAGTTGATATATATATATTTTTTTTCCTTTCCTCTTCTTTTGACTCCCACAATCATGCATGAGAGGAAAATATGATGGCTAAACAATTTGTTGCGGCACCATCAAATGAGAAACATTAGTAAAACCCACAAAGAGTTCTTAGTGTAAAATTATTTAATTTTAAATTAGCGCTATGAGTTGATCAGTTACTCATGATCAGTTGAAGTTCGCACGATCGCATCTCCGATCCATGTTTCACTCGTCACAGGTTATGGTGCTGACTGGCTCTGGTGGTGCATTGGTCCCACGACTCTTGTCACTAGTTTACCAACGATCCCAGTAAACTCCGCGTCCAAAGGTACAAAAGCATTTTCAGCTCGGGGCATCTACGTAAGTGTCTCCTCCCTCCCGAAGAACCACCCGATTGATTTTCTCATTCTTGGGAGTCCAATCGGCATGTCCTTCTTCTCTTTGACTTTTCCTGACGAAGGATCACCGTAACCAGGAAAGGAAAAGAAAACAAGAAAAATAAAAAGAAAAATAAAAAATCAAATCAGCCCCTCCCTGAAGCTTCCATTCCCTTGGTTCTCTTGTATCATTCTTTTCTAATCTCCCTATTCTCCTGTTGGGCTGAGGTCTAAACACTGCTCTCTTCCCTCTTTTCTTTCGCTTATCTCTTCTAGACATTTTCCACCTTTTTATTTTTATTTGATTGACCTCCCCAAAATCCTCATTCCATCTCGATTCGCATACCGACGATTGAATCATCCCTCCTTTGATTGCGGCCAAAACCCGCAGCGAGTTTCTTATCGCATACCCCCCTAAATAAACATCAATTTTGGAGCGCTTCGACGAGGGCAGCATTGGAACAAGAAACTATACCCAGCCGCAATGGCATTCTCCGATGTTGGCCTGAGGGGCCTCCATCACCTCGTCCGACGGGTGAGTTGCGACCGCTTAACCACCGATTTTATCGGCTCTGGGCTTGGGCACATCTAACAATATGCAGGACAGTGATAACCCAGCCGACACTCCGCCCACGGCATCGGCACTCGTCACTACTCTTGTGCCGGCTTTGGTGTCAGCCGGAGCGATGGTTCTGATCTTCCTAATCCTTCGTCGCAGTCAGCGCCGGATGTATATGCCACGAACCTACCTAGGAGTCTTGAAGCCGTGGGAGCGTACACCTCCCACCTCTACTACCCCATGGGGTTGGATCATTGACATGTACAAATTGCCCGATGAATATGTGCTGCAACACCATTCGATGGACGCTTACCTTCTCATTCGCTTCCTTAAATTGGTATCCATGATATGCTTCGTGGGCGCGTGCATAACGTTCCCTATCTTGTTTCCCATCAATGCAACCGGAGGGGGAACTAATGTGCAATTGAATATTCTGAGCATGTCCAACGTTCAAGAAAGCAAGTACGAGCGTTACTTCGCCCACGCCTTTGTTGCATGGCTCTACCTCGGTAAGTTTATGGTGAACTTTTCCAAGTACCCATGGTCATTGGTCTTACATATCGCTCTTTCAAGGATTTGTCATGTATACCATTACACGTGAGAGTATCTTTTACATCAATTTGCGCCACGCCTACGCCCTTTCCCCAGCCTACGCCAGCCGGCTTTCGTCTCGGACCGTGCTATTCACAGCTGTTACTGAGGACTATCTCAACCGTGACAAGATTCGCAAAATGTTCGGTACTGACAAAGTGAAGAATGTCTGGGTTACTACCGATACGTCCGAATTGGACGACAAAGTAAAAGAACGTGATGATGCTGCCATGAAGCTCGAGGCCGCGGAAACGAAGCTCATTACTCTCGCGAACAAGGCACGCCTCAAGGCCATGAAGAAACAGGGCTATGTTGAAGAAGGCCCCCCGACCCCCAGCGAAGAACCCAGTGATGAGTCGGGCTCAGTTGCGGCCCGCTGGGTGAAACCGTCCGAGAGGCCCACACACCGACTCAAATTACTCATTGGAAAGAAGGTTGATACGATCAATTGGGCCCGATCCGAAATTGAGCGCCTAAATCCCGAGATCGAGGAGCTGCAAGCCAAGCACCGAGCTGGCGACGCAAAGTTGGTTTCGTCGGTTTTTGTCGAATTCTATCATCAGGCGGATGCTCAATCTGCCTACCAGTCTGGTACGTTTGTTTGCTGTGCTCCATTTGATATCCGGCATGATGGTGTCACAAGGTTGGTCTAACGTGCGATTACAGTGGCTCACAATCTTCCTCTTCACATGGCACCGCGTTACATTGGCCTGGAACCCACTCAGGTTATCTGGTCTAACCTTCGTATTCGGTGGTGGGAACGCGTTATTCGGTACTTCGCAACTATCGCCTTCGTTGTCGCTCTCATCATCTTTTGGGCAATTCCCACGGCTGTGGTGGGTTCCATCTCGAACATCACTTTCTTGACTGAGAAGGTCCCTTTTCTTCGCTTTATCAACGATGTCCCAAGCTGGATCCGAGGTGTCATCACTGGCCTTCTCCCCACTATTATGCAGTCCGTGCTCATGGCTTTGTTGCCGATTATACTGCGATGTAAGTTGATTTCACAAGGGGTTCGTTTCTGAATGGTCACTCATTGTTTTTCTAGTGATGGCCAAGCTTGGTGGTGCGCCGACCGCCGCGGCTGTTGAGCTGACTACCCAGAACTTCTACTTCACGTTCCAAGTCATCCAAACATTCTTGGTTGTCACTGTTACGTCTTCCGCTTCTAGTGTGGTCTCGGATATTATCAATAATCCTACATCTGCTGCGTCGCTCCTAGCTGAGAAGATCCCGCAAGCTTCCAACTTCTACATCTCTTATATCATCTTGCAGGGGTTGTCGTTCAGTGCTGGTGCGCTTCTTCAGATTTCCGGTCTAATCCTGGGCAAGGTCCTAGGCACTTTGTTGGACAATACCCCCCGTAAGATGTTCACTCGTTGGTCCTCCCTAGCTGGTCTAGGCTGGGGAACGGTATACCCTGCGTTCACCTTCCTGGTAGTAGTTGGTAAGTTCTCTGTTCACGTTTTTGACATGGAATGCGGCTAATTGCTCCTGCTTGTGGATAGCCATCACCTACTCTTGTATCGCTCCCTTGGTTCTCGGGTTCGCGACCATTGGTCTGTACCTTTTCTACTTCGCTTACCGGTACAACATGCTGTATGTGTCCAATGCGGACATTGACACTCAGGGCAAAGCCTACACACGCGCCCTGCAGCACATCACCGTTGGCTGCTACCTGCTTAATGTTTGTCTCATTGGTCTCTTCGCTATTGCAACCGGTGCTCGTCGAATTGCCCTCGGTCCTCTCATCCTCATGATCATTTCTCTTATTGTCATGGTCATCTACCATGTTTCTCTGAACCAGGCGCTGGATCCTCTCATCAACTTCATCCCTAAGAACCTGGAATCGGAGGAGGAGGCTCTTCTTATTCAAGAGAAGGGCGAGCTTGCTCCATCTGCCGGCGAGCACTCAGATGACGCCGGCGCCAGTGGCCCTGGAAAGGAGGGCATTGACAATGGCGTGACCAACGTTGATTCGGCTGAAAAGGGCTTAACCGGACCAGCTCCGGAGCCGAAGGTCAACTTCCTGACCAAGTGGTTGCGCCCGGACAAGTACGATGGCTACACCCAGCTGCGGCGTTTTGTCCCCAACGCCTCGGCTATCACCACCTATACCCCCGAAGTTGAACGCGACGCATATTTCCACCCTTCCATCACCTCCCAGCCTCCTCTCCTTTGGATTCCTCGTGATGAAATCGGCGTGAGTAAGCAGGAAATCAAGCATACCTCGCGGGTGATCGCCATCACCGATGAGGATGCATGGTTGGACGAGAAGAACAAGATTCACTGGGACATGGACAAGGGTGTTCCGCCTATCTACGAAGAGAAGATCTACTACTAGTCACTCATTTGAACTCTGACCCATGTTCTGCCGAATCGGAACATGTCTTGGAAAGAATGTTTTGCTTTCTGTTTGATACCCACGTGGCCGTTGCTGGTCTCTTTAGCAGCAACCCTGAGATATTATGGTCCTGACTGGTCTGTTAATACTTAATTTATATATGAGCTGCGATTACGATGGACGCTTTGACAGGATCTGTGATGTTGATTAGTTGATTGATGTCTTGAATATGATCTGTGGTTCGCTTTATTCCTAGCAGTGACTTTCGCCGCTTAATCCAGGACCTAGTTCCCTTTAGAAGTTGTAGAGCTTGAATAATAAAGTCTCTTCAAACTTCTGAGATGGAGTGCACACTTGGACAAATACGATTAGGCCGCGATCAATAGATTTCCTCTTAGTTATTATTCGATGTCAGTTGAATGGTCTCGTGATATATTTTTTTCTCCGGAGTAGAACCATGCCTCCACCACATAATCTACCTTCACTGTTACTCCATGCCCACTCTTTATACCCCGCATTATTGCAACGAACCCCTTACAGTAACCCGATACAAATACAAAACCAAAATACCCCATACGGGGTACACAATCCTATGTCTAACAAGATTGAGACCAATATCATATCCCGATTAAAGGACGACAAGGCAATCCAAGCACACGACTCCGTTCTCGGAGGCCGAATAAACCAAACCATTCAGTTGGGTTGGATTGATTGGTGAGAGTACACGGGTTTTACTTCATTGAGTGAGCTTTACGATGGGTAGAATTTGTTCGTGGATGAGACTAAAGAAACCTTGTCTGGTATGTATACTAAAAAGAAGGTTTTATATAACAGGGCTAGAGCAATCTCATATTCTTACTGCGCTCAATTTGAACTTAGATAGAATCAGGAAAGAAACAACAACGACAATGCATGAGTGGTGACGTGTATCCTCGACACCACCTATATGAGATTATTCCTCCAGGGTATACGAATTAGGACTTTTGAACCAGCTGTCTGTGAGAACCAATTCCAATCACCTTCAGTTTGTGCGTTATTAATCGATATAGAAGATTATTATAGAAAAGAGGGGGAAGAAGAAAGGTCATGCCGCGCTTGCCTCCAATGCACTCGTTAATTGGTCCAAATGCTGCTTCATCTCCTCACATAACCGTTCGTGTCGACCATGGGCATAGGAGAACTTTTCCCGACACAAAGCATCCATCAACCTGGACAGACACACCCCCGCGCGCTTCAGCTCCCTGAGGAAAATGCCCTCACAGATAGCCTTTTGCTCGACGAAGTCGATCTCGAACACGCCGAAGCGGATCAGACGCTCCGCATAGCCTATGGACTGGTGTGCTTCAGACCGCAGGGTGAAGTCGCGGTATCCGAAGCTGAAGAGGGTGATGATTTTGCTCAGAGCAACTGTGAACAGCAGGTGGCCGTCGTACATCTGCTCGAAACTCAGGCACTCGGTCAGCTGCAGGAGAGTCGTCAGATATTGCTGGTTGGCAGCTAGGACGGCATCGAGCGTATGGTTCTCCTTTGTGCGCTGTCGGCCCATGAGGAGCGTCTGTTCGATGTTGTGCAGCAACTGTAAGTATACTGTGTAGCTCGTTTCGGGACCCATATTTTCCAGAGCGCCGACCCGGTAAACTCCTTCGTCGGCTAGGTACTCTGGTGGAGTTGCCGGCTGCCGGATCGAAGCCGTGCAAGATCGGCTGGGGTCGCAGCTGCCGTTGGCGACGTTCGTCTCTATCTCCCAGTCGTGGCTGAGGCGACGGTCGAGACTCAGGGAGCCTCTACTCGCTGACATTTCTAGTCCCGGTGTTGGGAGACTATTGGCGCTGAGGGGCTCCAGGTCGGAGGTCCAGCAGAAGTTGCCTGGTTCTTGGAGGCCGAGGTCCATATTAGGACCCAGGGGACGAGATATATTGTGTGTTGAAGTGGGCACCGTGACTGCGAGGGAGAGACCGTCCGGTGTATAGTTATCACCTGGGTAAAATAGCATGCTGCTCGAATAATCGTGCACCACCAACGGGGTGATTATGGGATCTACAGCGAAGTGGGACGGGGCACGGCGCGCCGAAGGAGTCACCCCTGAGCCCCCTTCATCCTTGATAGCGTGTGCAAATGGCTGAAAGGATGGAATTGCTTCATTTGTGGACTCCAGGCGTGAGGGCGACGTGAGCGATGCGGATGATGGGGGAGCGGTAACGGCAGAAGCAGCGGCGGCTGCAGCAGCAGCTGCTGCTGCACGGTTGGCTTTGCTTCGTTTCCCAGGCACCTTCCCGATCCTCGAGATTGAGAAGATACAGTCCAAGCCAAGATTAGCGCAGCGTTGACAGCCGGTTTTCTCTCCTGAGCAGCGGACCTACGGACGAGAGTTATATCCCATGTTTCTATACAATTATATCTGGGCTTTCCCGCTTACCTTAGCGGAATGACACTCATTGCAGGCAGCACGAAGCTTGGGTGGCCTCTTGGAGATGGTACGGGCACTAGGAGGAGGTGTCAGATTATTTGATAGGCAGAAACTGACTATGGGGCAGTACTCACGATGACATGGTTAAGATGGCCTTCGTATAGCATGGACAGAGCACGAAGCGAAGGCAAGCTAGGGCCAATAATTCAGGCAGGAGGCACAGTGGTCGTGAGGTTGGAAGTGACGATAGGTGTACCAGAGCCGGAGGTATCTGAAGCTGCCTATGTATCTCTGTGATGTATAGGCGAGGCTGACACTCATCACCTTAGGCCTCAGTCTTCTATAGACCGGTAGGGTCCCCGGGCCACGCAACACCAATCCAAGGCCATTAGGGATGAGATAGACCAACGAGAGGAAGGCGTTAATCTATAAAGAAAAATGAAAAGACCAATACAGAGAGTCAGTCCATACCTTAGTGACCAAATGAGCCATACAACGATTTTACAGCGGTAGATCCGCCTCTGCCATTGGATAAAAATAGCAGGGGCCACATAGTCCGTTGAGGAGTGACTACCTGGAACGACGCATCTTATGCTGGGTTTCAAATTGCACCGATCCGGCTCTGTGGTTCGCCTTGAGCTTGCGAGGGTCTATCTTTCCCTTGTGAACAGCTAAATCAAGAGAAAGTCTAGATTCAGGGTAACTGGTACCCAGGTAAGTATCTGCCTGGCCTTGATAGCTCACCTAATTAAAGGCTACTGGCGCGAGCTCAGTCCTCTGTCCGGGCACGTCGGCAGGAATCTCTGATGTTTCACGATATGCTGTACAACCATCGCGGCTCCGTAAGTGGAGGATTGACAATGCAGCGTGACCTGCCAGCTTAGGCAGGGTGCAGGACAAAGGACTCGAGCGAAACAGGAGGATTCAGTATCAACGTGACACGCTGCTGCCATTCCACCAGCATGGCTTCACTGGTCGAGCATCGCAGGCGAGCTGTCCAATGACAAACGGTCCACAACCCGGTCAAATGCACTGACCACGACCAGGATAGCCATTCTTACTAAATGGCTTGCGATCACGACCACTGCTCCTGCCATATACAGCCACTATCGATCCTGTTCAGTGTGCATGCAGCCTCACCGGGAAACCACCTAGGCGCCTGCGACCCTCATAACGGTCTTTCTGGCCGGTTTTGTATATCTCTGTCGTGTCGCGTCGTCGATAGAACTGTGCCATCAAGACACAGAGCTCGAGTCCAAAGCGCTGACTAGCCCTAGACAGTCTGGAGATAAGATCGTCACCTATGGCCCATTGTTCCCTTCCCATCCCTGATCCGATCTCGACCCATCCTCCGATAGATCCGGCGTAGCTCCCCGCACGTCGTACTCGGATGTCATTTCCACGTATGTGAGTCGTTGCTACGGGGCGCCGCCTGGGTGGCTGGGCTACAAGGAGCCCGGGTCAGCCATGTATAGCAGGGCGTACGCTCCCGACTCTGGAATAAACCATCTCGTAATGAGATAGATGGTGTCGTGGTGCCGTGGTGTCGTGAGAGCACTACATATATAAGCCGTGTCAGTTTCTCCTATCAGGATTTCATTATCAGACACGAAACACACTCGCTCAGTTACAAATCCCCACCAAAAGTATAAAATGACGTGTATCTCCAACCCACGATTACTTTATCAGTACCGACCCCCATCAAAGCCCCCCATAAGCACAGAATGACTCTCACCCTAAGCACAATAAAACCGTTACCTAGCCCTACACAGTGCAACCCAACCAACCCCTGGCTAACCCAAGCCCGCCTTAATACCTATACCTCACACATTAGAAGACAAGGGACCGTTACCTTTTCCTCTCAGGACAAGAGACCCTGAGCAAGCCAAAGCGGGGTACAACGAGATCAAGACCACCCGTTCCACGTCCCTTCCGTTCAGGACCAATTCCGAAACCGACCATATCACTATACCCACAGGAGGCGATCCGACCCCAGCAAAGCCACGGTAATACGACGGCTGCAATTGGCCCAACGGGTGAATTCATTTTCTGCCGTGCAGCCATGGATCCGGTTTTTTTATTTTTTATTTTTTTTTTAATTTTCCCTGAGTTGTTGTTGATTCGATTCTGGCATTGTAGTGGTTTTACCGTGAGGAGTCAGAATTCAAGGACTTTGATGTAGTATACTTATTAGAGTTGTACCATATGTTCAGTTACGTAGGCAAGAAAGTCTACTTCACAGACCCCTTAAAATGAAATGAGAAATCAAACTTTCTCCTCAAAACATGTCCAAAACTCAATCAATATCTGAACGAATCAAGCATACTGTAGCAAAATAGCATTCCACAAGCCTTTTCATCTCTCTCCCCAACCCCAAAATTCAGACTCACTAACCCAAAGGGAAAGGAAAAAGAAAAAACCCTCACCAAATGACCAGCATCACAAAACACCTTAAAAAAATGAAAAAAAGATCACAAGCCCCCTTGAAATTCCTCTCCTCCCCAAAAACCCCTCCTCAACAATGACGGCGTTTGCATCATAACATACGATCTACCCGATGATCGCCTAGGTCACGGGCCCCCTGATTGGCTCACACCGCACCCAAATTAGGGTTTCCGTGGCCTGATCCCAGGTCACAGGACCGGGATCGCCACACCGGATGATCGCGTTCCTGGAGTCAACTTTCGTCACTGTATGGGTTGGGGGAATAGGTGATGGATTGGGGGGGGGTGGAAGGGGGTTTGGGTTCATAAAATGGGTTGTGTCGGGGTTGGGGTTGGGTGTTTTTGTTCTAATACATAACTATTCTTTTGAGCAGTTACAACTTACTTCTACATTCGTCTGCTTCTATATCTACTACTATACTTACCTACCATACGATTACCGATCAAAGAATTATTCATTCGGTGGTCGAATAACTACAATACATACATACATACATACATACATCCATATCAACGACTACATCTACAACTACAACTCTACTCAAGTGATAAAAGGGGTAGAAGAAAAAAAAGGAGCAAAATGAGCTTCACAAAAAACCTAACTCGAGCCCTAAACACCACCCCGCTACGACAACAACGCAGCACAACCAACCTAACCTATGCCACGCATGAGCCCCTCGAATACCAACTCAGCAGACTCTCATTATCCAAAATCAAGCAGGAGTCTGCCCGGCCAGAGCCTGACCTGCGTCATGTCGTCGGGTATGCGTCGGTGAATCGCGCCGCGGGGGATAAGATGTATCAGAACCTGGTGCGGGGGGTGGAGCTGCTACGGACGGAGAGGAGGGCGAAGTATGGTGTTGGGAGGAGTAAACTTTCTTCGTCTTCCTCTTCTAATGCTTCTTCCGGGGTGAGGGGGAATGGAGCTGGGATTGGGGCTAAGGATGGGGGATTGGGGGTTCTTTGGAGAGAAGAGGAGGTGGTGGAGACGAGGTGTGTTGGGGAGGGCGAGTTGGAGGGTAGGGGACGGCGAAGGAGGAGAAGCTCGAAGAGGTTGAGAGAGGAGCGGGTCTAGCGGCTCTGAGGATAGGATGACTATGAGTTATGATGTTATGGTTGGTGTTTCTTTCTTTCAAATTGTGTGCTTTAAGGGCTTTTCTGTGTTTTTTT